AAATCACCCGAGACGTCGAAGATTACCACCGATATAGATCCGGTGTGAGCAGCACTCCTCAAGTCTACCCAAGGACAAAACGAAATTTGAAGGTATCCCAACAAACAGTTGCTATGATGAGTTTTCACCGTTTGCTCTCCAGTTTTCAAAATGACGTCCTAGCAAGAGGAGCAGCGCCAGCGTGTCAAAATTTTGCTCGCGCAGGTAGATAATCCGACGTTCTCACACGCCAAGTTGGAAAAATTGCTGGATGTGGCCAAATCGACCGTGACAATCGTTCTAAAAGTGTTCAGGGAGCATCTGTCGACCGCCAGGAAGCCTGGAAGCGGCAGCAATCGTAATCCGGACGTGGCAGCGACGACGAAGAAGGTGGCGGTGAAATATAAGCGGAATCCTAACCTCTCCATCCAGGACGTCACTGGCAAGCTCAATGTCTCCCATACTACCAAAGATGAATACTAAGATGAAACTGTCGGAAGAAAAACTTTCTATTTTAGAGTCCTCTTTCACGGTCCCTTTCATCCAATGAATACCCCCCGTATTCAAGGTAATTTTGTGGTTTTGCTGCCCCCTCGGTAGAGATGAAATTTTGCGCTCATTTTTATAAAAACAAACACACCAAAATTAGAGATGTCCCATTTTTTAATTACTCGATTAACAACTAATCGATTATTTTTTTGTTCGCTGTGCTGCCATTTTCCAACCAATGAGAGTGCAGCACATGTTTGAAACGATCGGTGATGATCATCTGGAGATGTTAATGCGTATATCGGCACGATATAACCTATTACAAATATTTTACTTTTCGGTTCGTTAATCGATTAATCAATTATTCGAATGAAAATCGGCCATCACTAGATGAATGTGAAACGTCATTTCAAATATATGGAACGTACATAAATAATGATACAATTTGAAAGGGACCGGGGCTAATCACAAATTACGTCCCCACGGTAACTGAAATAAATACTAGTTTTCACAGGTTTATACTACTGTACAGCGGGCCAAGAAACGAGCCGGGTTGTCGACGTTTAAGAAGGTGAAGGTGGTGAACCAAGATTACAAACAAAACACATCGGTAAAGCAACGGTCCCGAAAGCTATATACGAATCTGCTCACAAAGTTCGACTGTGTCATCATGGACGACGAAACTTATGTGAAGGCGGATTTCAAGCAGCTTCCGGGACAGGAGTTTTATACCGCATCAGGAAAAGGGAAGGTGGCTGAAATTTTCAAAACCATCAAACTATCGAAGTTCACGAAAAAATATCTCGTCTGGCAGGCAATATGCAAGTGTGGTCAGGCCATACGCACGTGTGGTCTGAAAGCGGCATTTTCACTACTACGGGAACCATAAATCAAGAAATCTACGTTCATTGGAAAAAGGCAATCGAGTGGTACGATGCGAACAACGTGGTTGTGGTACCCAAAAACCACAACCCTCAAAACAGCCCAGAACTCCACCCTATCGAACGGTATTGGGCCTTAGTCAAACGGAATCTAAAAAAAAAACTAATAAATCCATGGAAAACGAGCAGCAGTTTAAATCTAACTGGCGTTCGGCGGCGAATAATGTCGATGAGACCACTGTGCAAAATTTAATGGGAGGGGTTAAGTGGAAGGCACGGCAGTTCGGATTTTCCAAACCAAAAGAATTAACGAACATTTTTTGCTTTAAATATATGAATTGAACTACCAAATGAAAAATAAGAAGATTTTTGTTATATGAATTTTGACGCAAAGAAACGATTTTTTTTGTCGAACAATTTTTGCGCGTTCCAGTCTTTAATATAATAAACCAGGTAAATGTAATTTTAGTTTATTTACGCGGTGATGATGTTGGTTCACTCGCAACTATTTTTGAAAAAAATTAAGTGTTTTCGAACGAAAGTGTACCAAAAGTGCTTCTGAACGTGTTGCGCAGTTGGGTGCGGTGAAATTCGTGCATTCCCGGTTGATTTTGGAAATCCGTATCACGAAATTGCCCACCGATTCCTTTCTTTTTGCCGTTCGACGACGACGGGTATGCTTTCGCGAGAGTGACGTTTATTTGACCCGTTTCTTTGCACGGGTGTGTTTTTTGTTTGTAGCTAGCGTAAGTGTGCCTGCGATTTGCATTGAGTGTCGGAGATTGTAAGTAATCTGAAGGATGCTTCGCTGGATACGCCCAAGACTGGGCGGGCAGTAGCTGGTGGCCGTCAACGGTTCCTGGGGAAAGGACTGGATGCGACCCTCCTCTTAGATGACCATGGCAATACAGGAAGTATTGGTATTGGAAGGTAATTGCTATTAGATATTTTAGAACAGTGACAGATAGCGGACATGAAGAACCAGTTGAGGTCCCGGGCAAAGGTGTTTATCCTAGACAAATGGTAAGTTATAAATTCGCTGTTGTCGTTGTCGTAGGCGCCGTCGTAGTCGCTGTCGTAATCGCCGTCGTAGTCGTAGGCAGTACCGTTAGTATATTTAAAATTAACCACCAACCGCTGAAAATATGAATTATCGCGTATTTCTGTTGTTCATTGCATGCCAAGTGAAATTCGAGAACGTAATTTCATTTGAATAGCTTTTAACCAGGTCTTAAACAATCGTCACGTCGGTCATAGCTTGTTATGATTGCCTGAACCATGCGTCGCGTGAAAGTGGATCTTAATGAAGCCCTCTTTCGTAGCTTTTAATTTAAGGATTTCAAAGATCATCGGTTGCAGTGGCTTACTTACTGAGCAGAAAAACGCGGTCCCAGATCCTTTCATATTAAAAATGTATGGTTCGATCGCTTGTTTATCGTGTATTTCGTAAAACTTTTCGTTGTCGTCGGTGCCGGGTCTGAATAGTCATAAAAACTTGAGTAACGCTATATTGTGATATGAGGGGCTCGGTGACCTTAGCACAACCGGTTTTGCTTACTGAGCAGAACATCATGAGTCTAATCTCAAGCCCATCCACATTCAAAATTCGTCAATCGTTTTATTTGTTAACATGACTACATGGTAATAACAGCAACTCGATGATTAAAAAGGAGCTCGTCTGCCTAGTGGCAAACGTTTTTGCTTACTGAGCAGAAGACCGTGGGTTCAATCCCAAGCTCCTTCGCGTTATATGATTGTTAGGACATCAATTCAGCTTATAGTTTACCAAAACGAACTCTGCTGCAAACCCAAGCCTATTACCCAATATCCCAGTGATTCCTCGTGGAAGTGCAGAGGTGTTCTCGGCTTCCATCAAAGCGAGTGTCACGTCAACACATTCCTACCCCTTCCTTTCTTGACCTGTGTTCGGGCGCGGCCGGCGCTGGTATTGCCTAGTTTGAGATCACCAGTTTTTACACATTGAGGATGATTGCTAGTCCCAAGCATCGTCTACTGGTTCTCTATGTAATTACAGCTGGTCTGGCAATAACAGAGTAGCAACCGTGGGCGGTCAATCATGCTCATGCTCATGCTAGACCAGGTAAATGTTATGAAACCAAAACAAAAAATCGTATTCTTCCTGAATTTGTATCCATTACATACAGTAAAGCATACAGTGCAGATGATTGATTAACCGAAAAAACATACTTTTTTTAAATCAGCAACCCCTTAGCTAACGCAATTATCCATCATGATCATCAACATCACATAAACCATCAGAAATGGCTCCATTTCACACGATACATCATGTCGAACAACAACAACAACCGCAGATTCTAATCCTCATCAAATCAACCTCTAGCATCAATCTTGACGCAATTTTCCGGAACATTATTTCTACTTCCTAAGCATGTGCGCGCCGCAGCTACCGAAACCTCTACCTACATCAAATCCCTCTGCGTTGCACTTTATTGCATCGCATCTCTATGGGGTCTCTCGTCATTCAAGACTTTCGTACCGAAGCAAAGCAACTAGCTCAGGGAACGATTCCACTTCCCCCTATGCTGTGTGTGTGTGTCTGATATGAAAATAAGTAACCACCTCAAAAGGGCTGGATAAAATATGCCACTTTTTGCACGACTTTATTGTGGGTACTGTTTACGTTTTAGATCCGAGATGCAAGCATATCTGCGCGGAAAACGAGGAAAAGCTCTGAGAAAATATTACGCGCTCCGATCGTCGTCCAAAGCAGGAAATAATGCTCAGTGCGGAGAAGAACAAAAGCAAACGGCGATAGTTTCAAACGTTTCACGCGATGCGGCACTCGCAAGCGGATTTGGCGGGAAAAAAGCAATGTTTACGGTCATATGTTACAACAGCATAAGAAAGCTAAATTTCTACCTTTTTTGTATTTTAGCACCAATTTGTTCTATTTTTTTTTTTCTCTATTTCCTGCCTCCCTTTTCTTTGCTTCACTTTATATTTCTGTTACGAATTGGGGAAAACCCAACGGCAACGTTAAATAAACGCAAATCTTGTAAAGACATCTTATTAATTGTGCACAGTTTGCTTTTGTGGACAAATTATTTAACACGATTGAATAAGCGCTTCTGATGCAGAAAGAGCTTGCAAGGCATATCATTGATCGTATTAACTGTGAAAATTATCGCACTTTCCGCGACGCACATCGGAAAAATCCGCCAGAAATGCAGTTGGACAGGTTTCGTCATTTTTCTCTTTTTTGCAACCAAGATAAATGCTCACTTGCACGAACAGATACCTATCGCGCAGAACTGAGCCGGGAAAAGAGCTCTCCAAGAGTAAAAGCATAGTGAAAGAAAAATCGCCAACTAGAAAATTCACCTCTCCCGGGCGGTTTATGGAAGGCTGCAAACGGCATCCAGTGGCGTGATGAGGCCCTCTTTTGCCGGCTCCACCATCTATGGGTACCCGTTCGGCACAATGTTTTCAGTTCTATTCGCGCTTTCGTAACGATGAGGTCGTACTTTCTTCGAGCTTTCGGTGGAAATTGCAGGTGCCTTGTGGAGGAATCTCAATCGTAGTGTGTCTACCCTACAGAAAGGGAGATCCAGTAAATCATAGTTGTAGACCAAGTTACGTTACCCCAGGGGTCAATTATTGGAACCGGGATTCGATTCGCTGTAGTGATTAGAAAACGCTTCAATTATCATAAAACGAAATGAGTTCGTTGGTACGACTTTTGCTAATTCTATCACTGCTGGCAGGTAATACAAGTAATATTGAGCTAATAAACGATGTAAAACAGGGCAAGCAACTTGTGCAGGCTTTAATTTAATCAAGTCTACTTGGTGAAATGGAAAGTGTTTTCCCGCATCGGGAAGTGTGGTCTTGAGAGGCCAATGAGTGAATAATATAACATATGCAAAAATATGAAAATTTATAGAGTAGAAAATGACTATCGAAAGCGAAAATGTACCCAACGAATGAGTGAGTGTTTCGATTGTTTCAGAGACGAGGTGCTTGTTTTCCGGCGGTGTTTTCGACCTGAACTTCTTCAAATGCATGTGGAAGAAAGATTATGACTGTCCACACGAGGATATTCGATTTTTCCTCTACACACCGTAAGTATCTTGTATTGCAAAAGCTTTGATCTTTTCACGACATCGAACTCATGGGTTAGACCAGCAGGTCATCTAGGCATAAACTATGGATGTAATTAACACTGAGTGAACTCCTGAAGCGGTATTAAGTAGCTCGCCTAGAGAAACCCGAGCAGAGGAAATTTCGCTCTGCCGAAAAACGGTCATGCGAGGAATAACGGAACAAAAACGCAATGAAAAGAAACTTCGCACTAGATCGATTAATGATAAATACCCACATGGTGTGTTTCGCATTGTTTGTTGTATTGACTAAGACGCGAATGGATGTGCGAGAGTAAGTACCGCAAATTTGGTACCAACCGTAGATTTAATATGGTGCACGATCTGTTAGTAAGTTATCTTTGCACGCAAACGTTGAACTTCGATTTTCCAATGCGCCAACCATTTGTGCCGTATTTAGCAGCCGAAGCAGTTTCTATTTCTAGTATTCTGATTACATTGATATTATTTAAAGAATATAAACGAGCATTGAATGATTAATATCTAAATAAAATAAACTTGACAAAGTTTATTAACAAAAAAATGGTCATCGTTAACCTATTTTTCTTGATAGTAATGTGTTGTTCAGTCACATGTCTTTTCAAATATCTTCTGTGTCAATTTGAATAATTAAGTTCAAAGAAGTGAAGATTTTGTGTAGTTCTTTTCAGAGCTAGGGGCCAGTCCACAATTAAATAAGCACGTAGGAAGGGAGTAGGTGGTTTCTTTACTGGGAAGAAGGGGGTCTCAGAAACATGTTACGTAAGCATGAACAAGTCATATACAGACCATTCAAATATTCGATGTAAGATCATACAAAGAGGGGAGAAGGGGTTTTGATAAATAATATTACGACTTACAATGAGGAGAGGGGGTGGTTGACGATTCCAAAAAGTGCTTACTTAATTATTGCATTATCCCCCAAATGTGGTTCAAGAAAGGAAAGTGTTGTGTTAACTAGATTACGAATAGGTCATACAATCTTCACACACAAGCATCTTTTTGAAAAGACAACAGCACCAAATTGTCAATGGTGTAATGATATTCTGACAGTGAAACATATTCTACCCACTTGTGCACCGACTTCGGCAATTTTTTACCGAACTTTCAACAGCTGTTTCACTTAGTTTTGATTTCAAAACGCTGTCAGCCTTGTTTAAATAATCGAGTTAGCCCATTGATAATTGATGAACCTAGCGGTGATGTTTTCTTTGTTTTGAAGCTCTAAAACTAATTAATTAAAATGCTTGAATTTTACCGAACAATTCAGCTGTTGAAAGTTCGGTAAAAATTACCGCAGTCGGTAATCATTTCTAAGTGTGTTGTGAATTGTCTTTCTCTTGGAAACTAAAGTAAAAGTTAGAATTAAGCAGATGATGAAAATTGAATGAAGATTACTATTACTATTATTATCCTTTTTAATATTAGCTTATATTGTAGTATCAAAACAAGAAAGTTTGCTGAAGACACTAGATGGCTATTTATTCATCTCATTGAAATATGGAACGTTTTTGGTGGAAAACCTCCTAATGAAAGTTTCTACTTAATAATTAATATCTTTAAACTTCTACTGGTTTGAAATGTTTTACAAAATTATTCAAAACATTAATACACATAAGTTTGATGAATATCATAGCACACTAGATCGCTAAATAGGTGAGTTATTAATGATTTGGCTCCAAAATTATAATTTTTAGCCACATAATTACGATTTACTACCATTTTCCACCACATCCCACGACAAAACCAATAGCAATAGAAGTTAACAAGTGTATTTTCTTCAAAACATTCAAAATTTCTTGCAGAAACATGCAGAAACATGAATTATATATGAGATACTGTATGAAATGGGATATTTTTATGGAAAATCCCTTAAAAATGATTTTTCCTACATAAAACATTCTTTGAATCTCTACTGCTTCAAAGTAGGTTCTGAAATGGGCAAGTAATGCTTGGTTTTGTTATAAAAAACATATTTTTGACATTTTATAGCATGTCTGAGAAGATTCCGCTGATCACCTTCCTCCTGGTCGATCTGACATTCTTACGACGTCTTCAACCCGCCGTAGTCATCCAATTTTTGCAGTGTGGACGATGGGTGGTTCACCCAGCATCTGGCGCAATTCGCGGTTAATTCGCCTCTTCCATCTTACATCTGCATTCCACCATAGATGGTACGCAACGCATTTCGTTAAAAAAAACCAAGGCGTGGTCCTTCATGAGCATACTCCATGCCCCGTTGCCAATTTAATCATCGTTTTGTAGATAGTCTACTTCGTGTTGCTGCGAACTTTATTCAACTGGAACGTCCTTACGAGTCCAATGTAGGCACAATTCCCTGTCATAATACGTCTTTGAATTTTACTGCTGGTGCCATTATTGCCGGTCACCAGTGAGGCCAAATACGAGCTCGTCAACCACCTCGATTTCATCGCCGTCACTTCAAAATCGTGGTGGGAGGCTAACACTATCTTCTTTTGAACCTCTTCCTATCATGTATTGTTTGTTTTCGACGAGTCCAATCCGATTGGATTTAGATTTCAGTCTGATGAACGTTTCCGCCATCGTTTCAATGTTCCGTATCATGATGTAGATGTCATCGGTGAAGCCAAGAAGGTGGAAAGATTTCGCTGTTTGGATTTAACCTTCCGAAGCGATTTTTGAGCAGACAAGAAAGCCCATCACATTGCCGTAGCGTCACGAATGACCAAAAAACATTACTCGAGAGTGTCCTCGAAACCAGGACAACGCATCACTCGATCTATTGTTGCCTTGACCAAGCGCGTCAATTTATTCGGAAATCCGTATTCGTCCATAATCTGCCATAGATGGTCCCGATGATTGACAGAGTGTTGTTCGTTGTATAGTGTTAAGTGTGTCTGTACACGGATAGAAATCTCCTTATACCTTTTGGCAAATTTCTATTGCTCATTATTCATAAAATGTATATGTCAACTAATAAGCAGACGGCTTGAAAAAAGTTAATGAAGATCATGTGTCAAATGAAATGTATAAGCGGTCACACATACCTTTTATGCATTCTTATAGTTTGGTTTGTCTTATGGAATGTATAAGGCTAATGTTTTGGCAAAAATGTATAAGTGAAACACATGAATAAAATAATTGATTTTCGTTTCGTGTACAACCTCTGGTTGAAGGCTGTGACAAGTGTCTTCCAAAAACCTTATTGCATTGCTGATAACATTCCTACTCCAGGACGAAGAAAAGCAACGATAGGACTACGAACATGAACAGTAGAAGTACGTACACTAGATAGGTGGCTGGAGATGTATCGTTGGACAGCAAAAACGACAAGGAATCGATGGAAGATGCAAAGGTGCTTGAGGAAGAAGTGGTTCAACCGGACGTAACGAGGCTTCGAAGGCTCGAGGAGAACCTTGCAGAGATAACGAGTTAAAACGAAACCCAGAAATTGCAGTCACTTCTAGGTGAACATTTCAAAAGATTCTATGCGTTCAACTTACCTCGTTGCTCTTTTGGAATGTGGACGAACACGAAGCAACCGAAGACTCGAAGTCAAGATTGGTACCCTTGATCCACTTTCTCTTTCGCTAAAAACTAAGCTGAAAAAAAAAATCCCTGTTGTGTTTGACGTTTTGGGCGCTAGACAGTATCTAGCAGGAAGAATCAGAAGCATGAGATCCATTTTTTGCTGGGGGATTTAAGCTACTGCGTCTACTGATTCGAACTTTTCGAACATTGATTAGAAATCAGTATCAGTATCAGCTTTACAAGCTCTGGTAATCAAAAGAGAAAAACAATGAAAATAATCGATCAAAGCAGATAAAACCTTGAGTGACAGACAAGCGAGAATAAGCATCTAAAAGAACATTCTAAAGAAAACGATTCTAAAAGAATTAGACGCTCCTAATACAAAAAGAAGCTTAAATATAAAGAAACTTCTTAAGAAGATTCTAAAATAAGCTTCCAGAAAAAGGTGGTTTGTAGAAAAATGAAAAACAATACCAAGTCAAATTGTAACACACACAGAAAACCATTCTGAATTTTAACTATTGACAAATCCAAGTTTCAATCGGCCACTGTGGCGCTGCAATCGCAGCGGTGATAAGTCCGAAATAATGTGTCAAACCAGCTAGCTGGCATCCCTATCTTGTTTGCCTTGCCTTGAAAAGAGCTAACATCGCTGCGGACCCGCGAATTGCGGGCCCCACTGACAGCTCATAATTTGTAAACAAATAGAAGATTCAAGCCAGAATTTCAAAAAAGGCGTGACTGATATTATGGATATTCTTAATATTTTTGCTTACATTTTGTGAAAAATAAACTTAGGACTCATAAAATATTATTTTCTGATTTTCTTCCACGAAGTCAACCATTTATATGGCATAAAAGGGAAAATAATTTCATTTGATATAAATAAGACAATTCAGTCACGCCATTTTTGCAGTTCACACTGGAATTGTGACGTTTCATATGTTGGTTTCAATAACATGGCGGCATGCCAGCCAGCTGTGTCAAACTGAATACATTTTTGAAATTTCAACCAAAAAACTATTATTTTGTATTTATTCTAGTGAGTTTCTGTGGGAGTCAAAACATGATCCGAGCAAAAAAGTAGTACTCGTAATAATGGTATATAATTCTGAATTTTATCGTGCTTTGTTTCGAAAATATCTTCCAAATAAACAAACATCATCCAGATCACCCGATTCGTCCACCGACTAAATCTATTGCCACTTAAAAATTAATTTCAGCAGATTGAATCGTTTTTCGTCTGGTGCTACACCGAGCAATCGGCCTATTTAATAGTTTTTCGTCGATGGATTTAGTCGGCCAACTTTGTCTGCTGTATAATCGGCAGATGATTTCAAACCTTAACATGTTTTCTGTAATTTAACTGTCTTGAAGTAGCTTTTTATTTAGGAACAATGCATTACAAAATAATGTTATGCATTTTGTACAAGGTTCATCCATGCTGACAAGAAATTTGCATGAAATTA